TAAGAAATTCAGTTCTGTTGTGGCAGGAGGTCATTTCATGAAGGTGTTTATCATGTCTTTTCTGCAGATTTTCATGTTATGGCTGTGCTGCTGTTGGCAACCATGTCCTTCAGTAGCTGTGACACTGAGTAATGACAGAAAGCTCACTTTCGGCTCCATACCTCTCCAGAGGTCAGTTAAACTGGAATGAGAGTGTTTGACTGACTTCTCACCGAGTGAGGGAACAGCTGCAGAGTTCACATCTGATATTCTCTGAAACAAAAGCCAGTTTCAAATTTCCCTCCGAATCATGCTCCTCTCAAGTATTTCTGGCTTTTTTTTCTTCTTCTCTCTTTTTTTTTATTATTATTTTATTTTATTTTATTTTATGTTATTTTATTTTATTTTATTTTAATTTTTAAGTCAGTGAATCCCAGCGAATCCTTGTAGCTAGACTGGAATACAGAAACAATGGTTTAGTTTCAGGACTGGCTACTAAGACTACACATTTTCATTTTGTGAGACTAAGTGTGTGACATATCTACAAAAAAAATTACTCTATTTAAGAGTTCCATTTTTGTCTGCCTGGATAGCCTTTGCTTTCTTAAAGCAGAAGGAGGCAAAAGTGGGATTTTATTTTTCTATGCATGGTCATAACAGGAGGAGGGTAGTTAGAGGCAGGCAGAATAAGTTTCTGTCTATTTAAGAAAACCCAAACCCAATTGTTTTAACAGTGGAAACACTTGCTGGTTACTCATAATCAAATTGTAGTTATAAATGGAAGTTATAATGAATGCCAAAAGAAATCAGAGGATCAAGAAGGAAGATAATTTTTGAAGCTGTAAGGAGCAAAGAAAATTGGACAGTCATGACCACAGCATCCTCTGCAAAAAAGTACTTCTGTGCATTTATAATTGTTTTATAATTACATTAATAATGTTTGAATAGAACTAGTCTCCTTTTCTGTTATAAAGCTCTGTATTAATCAGGCTTGTTGCCAGAGAGTGGGGTTTTTTTGTTGGTTTTTTTTTTTTTTTTGCAATAGTTAGAACAAAACCTACTGAAGAGGTGAAAAATTTCTTTCTTTGAGTTGGGTTTTTACTATTATGAAGTGTGGCTTCCATTCTTGAGTTCTCTATTATCAGCCTAGCTCCTGAGCTGTGTCCGAACAACCTTAAGTCTTTCAATAGATGTTTTCAGAAAATGATGCGGTTTAAACACTGCTTTGGTTTAATAGGCAAATGAATTACTGGAAGTGGATTCAAAGCTGGAATCTGAATAGACATATATTTCAGGTTGTAGTTTATATGTTGCTGATAATTACAAAGCATAATTGAAAATTGATTATTAGTAATTTGTTAGTTACATGGCAGTGATTTAATATGTTGTGTGAAGAAGGAATAAAAATGAGCTGGTCATGAAAAACTTGAGACACTTAACAAGACACCTGAGTTCAGAGTGAAGGTATGAATGCCCAATAATTCAATATTGAATTTAGACACTAAAACTTTGAATACTGGTGGTTTTTTTCAGCTGGAAAAACTTCTAAGTGAATGATTTCTCTGCTGCAACTTGTGTCCCAACGATGATCAGACAAGAAAAAAAAAAAAAAAGTGAAGTATATACAAATCTTGTTATGTTATGTGGAATGGACGTTGTAGATTCAGGAGTAAAGCTCATCCTCAGGATCTGAAAGTAAGGAAAAGTTGTGTGGCTCACTTTGAAGTGCCTGGAAAGAAATGCTTTGGTGCCCAGAGCCCTCTGGCGTTGCCATTGGTGTAACAAACATCAACCATCTACACCAGCACAGCTCAGGGTGACCTGCAGGTGTTCTGACCTGTCAGGAAAGACCTGCCAAGCCAATCACTTTTTCCCACCCAATCATTTATTGACTCCATTATTTATCTATGGTTAAAAAAATGGTAATTTGTTTTTGACAAAGATAAGTGGTATAATTTATCCTTGCTTATAGGAAGGTTTGCTTTGGAGCTATTACCCAATCTGTGTCAGCAACAATTCAGAGCAAAGATAGGTCCTGTGTAAAGGAAAATTTAGGAAAAATGTAAGTCTGCTCTACTACATCCATTGCAGTGCTCTGGTTTACATTTACTCCATGTCTTGTTTCAAGATCTCTCATTTTGTCTTTAATGCCCAAAGCATATTGTTCCCTGTCCTCCTTTTGAATTTAGGGTTCCCATTTGCTCCTTCCCAGCACTGGGACTGCATCTGTGATAGAAATCCTTCCTTCTCCAAGGCAGGGGCTCCAGTACTTGCTCAGCCACAGCCTCCATCTGCCTCCATGACTCACCTTGTCTTATGTTCCCCTTGCTTTCTGTCTCCCCATGCCAGGACTGAAGCCTGTCAGTGCCCTTGCTTCTGTTTCTGCTTTTCCTTCTTATGCCACCAAAGGCTGCTGTCCCTGCCATTATCACCTGTCAGTGTTTCCACATGCCACATGTCTCCCCTTCTCTTCTTCCTCATTGTATTATTTTTTTCTCTTTCAGTGTATGAAACGGCTGGTGGTACAGACTTATGACACACAGGGCTCTCCAGGAAATAGGGTATCTTCTGGGATGCTGAAATACAGGCTTTGTACAGGAAAACAACTAATGATCTTGAAGCGACATGCAGGAAATCTGCCATTTCAGTAAGTTAATGGTGGGCAAGGAGATGTTGTGGACCAACAAAGCATATAATAATTAATTTTCTATTATAGACATTACTTCCCTTCTACAGAATGAATAGGAAAATAATAATTTCGTAGCCTGCCTGGTAAGGCCAGAAACTGTTACACACCGAACTGGTCAGGAATTCTGTAGTAGTGCTGCATTGGGAAGCCTGGTGGGCTGGCTGGGAAGGGAGGAACAGAGCAGTGTGCCACCTGGGGGCCTCGCTGGGCAGCAAAAGAGCCCGAGGCATGGAAAAAACGAACAATGTGTGTCAGGAAGCTGGGACAGAGCTCGGGATTTCTGCCAGCAGGAAGTATGGTGGTGTTCGTGTTTCCCACAGAAAACTCAGTGTTCGCTTCTGAAGGGGGAAGTATAGGGGTGGTTATTGTCCTGTACAAGAAAAACAGGTGTGAGAGCAGCCTAAGCTGCCTCAGGGCACCCTGTTACTCTGTTGAGCCATGCAAACTGTAGGGTAGGAGAAAAGTTTATTAAAAAGCTTCAGCTTTTTACTGTTCCCCTTACAAATCCTAGAGCAGCTATTCGTAGGATGTTGCTTGGCATTACACAATGTACAGTCAGAGCTGTGGTGGCCGGTTCAAAGCACCCTGTTACTAAAGCTGAGTAGTGTAAGAAAAATTCCACAAATCCAAGAAGTGTCAGTCCGAAAAGGAGACCAAGTGGAGACTGCAATTTTATTTGAATAAAGGGAGAGAGTCTACCAGGTCACACACCTACGACATGTTCTTTCCCGAGGTTTCAGAGCGGGCGCCCTCCTTTTATCCTGAACTCCCGGCCGCCTGCTGCCCTCTCGCTTTCCCCATTGGCTGAGGCACCAGGAAGGTTCAGCCTTCCAGAACCACCTCCCACCTAGAACTTACCATTTTACCCTAAAGTTCGGACCTCTGTCTGTTTCAGGAGCAGAACTGCCTGAACTCTGCTACAAACCCAAAGTCAGCAGAGACATTGGGACCCATTTCAATGACATTAACACCCAACCTTCCCCCAGCAAATTGTCTGTAGAGATATGAGCTTTCCTCTCAGTAGCAGCTGCATGGATTTACAACAGTGCAATTTTAGAGATGAATTTATGTTGCAGTGGGCCCTAAATAATGAGACAGACTGGTTTGAAATACTTTGGCTAGCATATGCCAGTCAGGTAAAGAACTTTCAGGGCTACAAAACATGTGCACACTCAGAGAGGTGCTTGCTTTCTGAGAGTTCATTAAGTAATAGTGGCTAAGGTGATGTGCTAGGAACACTTCCAAGTGTTTGGTTTTGAGTATTTTTCATTTAAAGCCGTTTCAAAGCTCTATAGGGTGTTAGGTACCACAATTGACTTTTGACCTGGAACTATGTTTTATGGACCCAGCAACTCTCATGCAAGGGATTCACTGAAAAGGCAAAGCAGACGTGCTGTAAAATGCTCAAAATTTATTAATTGTAATTGCTTTTTAGTGTCTTAAAGAACAAAAATAAAATAATATTCAAAACCAAAAAAAATATACCATACCCAGACAACATGACTGAGAGTAAGAAATGGGACAACATTAATTCTGAAAGAAATTACCCAAAAAATCAGTTTGCAAAAAAAAAAAAAAAAAGTAATAAATAGTAGTGGTCCAACTTTTTAAAGCTTCCTAGGAAAGAATTTACAATTATTATAATTATTATTATTAATGTTATTAATATTATTATACTTTTGTTAAAAAAAATCCTTCATATGCCTCTGTTGGCAAATATATATATATATATATATATCTTCTGTAAACAGTTAACCACATAACAAAACAAAAAATCCATATTTTCATACACCTACTATGCTGACGGTGTTATGTAAACAAAAAGTAGTGTACAGCAGCTTCTCACAATAGGATTTTTCCTTTTCCTCACAAGAACTTGTAGGGAAATAGGTCCATTATAAATTATTCAAAATATTGAAGTTTATAGTTTTGAAAAGATATGGCTTTCTCCCCTCTAAGTTTTCCTCAACAAAAAAAGAAACTTATAGAAGCAGAGGGGTACAGTTTTCCTTGGGTTTGGTTTGTTTCCTGGATTTGTCTTTTGATTTTTCTCGGTGAACTGGAATAAAAATATTATTAGAAGTCCAGCACTTCTCAGAAGACAAATGAACATAAAATGTCAAGATGAACTTACATCGCTCAAGGTGTAAAAGAACAGACGTAAAAACCAATGGGAGATATATTGATAATGAAAGCTGAAATTCTGTAGACAGACAGACTGAGGGTTTATGCAGAAAATATCATCTGTTCATCCAAAATTTTAGCTGCTCTTGACACTTTTGTATTTTTTGAAGTTTCTTTATTTAGTCTTATGCTCAGCCCTTGTTTGAGGACTTCTCTCTAGTTCTAATTTTTGACATTTGCTTGCTCCTGAGACGTCTTTATCTGCTGTGTCTCCTGTTGGGTGTTGCCTTGGGTAACGCACTCAGCATCCACACAGCTGCATTTCTCCACGTAGGTGTAGGAGTGATCAAGGGAGGTTCCATCACTGCACATCAGAGTCACCTTTCTGTTGCTGGTCTTGATTTCCTGACAACACGAGCATTTGTGCACCATGGTGTTTGTCGTTTGAGAATATCTGATAGAAAAACCAATGAGAAAGATTCAGAATTTATGTGAGGTATAATGCTGCCCCTCCCAAACATTACAAAACATAACCAGAAATTGCATGCTTGCATGTGGGACTGTTGCTCAATATTAGCATTCTTACAGTATTGTGGTGAAATACAGGTAAATTGCCCCTCATTGTAAAAATTTATGACTCTAAGTCTTCATTATGGCACGGAAAAAGTAAAGAATTATTCCAGATCACATAGTGAGCCAGTCCAGTGAGATAACAATGAGAGACAAATAACTTCAGTTTCAAATGGGCAAAATCAAAATTTCGATCTATTCACTATGATGCTGAACAGGCTGTTGAACACTGAACCTCAAGATAATCAAGCTAGCACAATATCATGTTAATTAGCACAATGGAAACAGTTGATGGCTGGGTGGATGTTGGACACATCAGAAAAACCCTTGTGATTTGCTTGATGTAACTGGTGTAAAAAGAGTAAAAGACAAGAGGCCACCATTATCTTTCATGCCACTTACCGTGAGTAAGCATCACAGCTGCCTTCACAGTACGTTATCTCAACAGGTGCAGGAGACACACAGCCATTATAGTTGATGACAGTAGTCGTATTGTACTTCATACAAACTGAGGTCATCACAAAGCAAAGGAAAACAGGTTAAAATACACGTGCATATAAATAGAAGCTGTGTATGATATGACAGTTTGTAACTGAAAACTAAGGAGGATGGAACAGAAATAAAAAACTAAGTCACAATGCATTTTTCTTTTAATTGCTGAGGGCCAAATAAAGACTTGGTGTTTGTGTTATCAGTGGATGAAACTCTCCCTTTTTCTTAGACAACTTGATTCAGAATGCAGAAATTAAGAGCAGTACTGTGGTAACTGCTTGATGCACACCCATCTCTCAGAACTGGCTTCATTTTCCTCCTTAAAGAGAGTGTATCTATGGAAGTTGGAGAGTAGTCATTGTCCTCACCCTCCCACAAAAAAGCCAGCATTTAATAGTAGGGGATAGGAAAGTTCGTCATCTGTTTCACTGAGACTTAAAATGCATAATGGAAATGTCCTGTTTCTTTTCCACCTGTTTCCTTTCTCATCCCAGTGAAGCAGTTAACCCAAACCTGGTCAGTTCACCTCATCTGTCTATGCACCCATTGTGCAAAATGAGCTAATATAGCTAACCAGGCACATATAATCAATACTTTTAACAAAATTATTATTACTTACGTTTCGGTGCTCTTCGGCACACTAAACAGCAGCCATCATCAGATAGCCTGATATCATCCTGGGAAAATATAAAAAGATAACTCAGGTTTCATATCTGCATGCTAAAGCAGACTCTACCTGCTTCCTGATTTTCTCTGGCACCAGAGAATGTGTATATTTTTGTATTGCCATGGAATTTAATTTCAAGCAAGGCTAAATATTAAGGGCACATAACGCTTATCAATATTAAAGTCATTATTTGAAAGTTGAAATGGAGGAAAACCCTCAGTTTAGTACTATAATTTCAGCAAGCAATAAAGCTCCTAGAACATGTAAGTCAAAATATTGTGACCACAGTCAGTGAAGGTGAAGGATTAAAACAGACAGGGTAACACAATGAATGAAATAAGTGACTTGCCAGAGGCTGATTTTTGCTTTTAGGTCACTTGACATTTTAGGAATCCAAAATATTATGCTGTATATTTTTCTGTCATGTCTGATCCTCAGTGAGGATTTTTATATCACTCATTTTAGTTTTGAGTTGCTTTTCTGAGATAAAATTTGACTGGGACTAGGTTCAGAGAGGATAAAAGGAGAGCTACTTCCTGCATAATGCTTCTGCTAGTTATTTTCATTGGACATTCTGATCCTTCTATCACTGGTGTTAGGCACTGCAGCCTTTCCAGAAATGAGAACTGGAAGGACAGTACTTACTGGATCACACTCATCATGGTTAAAGGCAGGACAGCTTGCCTCCTTGATGACTTGAATGAACTGGTCAGCATGTTTTTCACATGTGTAAACAGTACAGTTATCACCAGGCGGATTCCAATGTTCTCCTTCCTGAAAGTAGTCAAAATTAAAACAAAATTAGGATCATTTTATATAAAAATGAAACAAAAGCCCTCCAATATCTTATTGTTGCTGTATATAGTAATTTGATTATTCCAAACAACTTCCTTGAATTTCAGCTGATAATTATTTGCCATATTATCATACTGCTATGAAGTGTTTTTCATTGACCAAGTGAAGATGTTCTATTTTTATATGGATATAGAGGTGCTTTTTGTGTGAATAGGGTAGGTACATGGACTTGTTTGGAAAGAATGATTTGCATGTCAATGGTTTTGTCATTAGAATTTATGGATGTGTCAAAATGCCTCCACAGATAAAATATTGTCCTTTGAGCAAAATGGATGCTTCAGTTTCAGAACTGGAGGCAAACCAGAGCCCTTTGCCTTCACCTATGTATTTTCCTACGTTGATTTCTGAAAGCCATTGTTCAGTATCATAGCACAGTTGCTTCCATAAGTCTTAGAACTGGCGTTTTGTGGTGTAAGATATTGTGTAGGCTGTGTGGAGATTGTCCAGCCCCTGCCTGAGTAAGCATTTGTCTAATATGAGAAAAGATGGAGGAAATAAATGTGACAACAACAAGGAGAGGAAAGAATGGAAAGACTAGCAAAGTTCCCCAAAAGTGAGGTAAGCCAGAGGTAATTACATGGAGCACGTGTGTAATGTTGTCTCCCACAGTCACTACACAAGCCGCTGCCTTGCACGTGCCACAGCACTGTCCAGGTTCCACAGTGTATTTATAGCCCTGTTTTGAAAGAAATAGAGAGACAATGGCAGTAAGTCAGGTCAGTGACCTGAACTGGTGGTTATTAGAGCTGAGAGGGGTAGGAATTTCTGGCAGCAGACCAGCACTCACCAGTGGGCAGTACGTGTCACAGATAACAGGCTGGCATGTGACCGCGAGGTGGTGAGGCCTTGAGGGAGAGGATGCAGAGCAGGTACATTCTTCACAGGGGCCTGATGGAACTGCAGCTCCAGGCTAGGTGAAGTTGGAAAACCCCATTATTAGTCAGTTAAAACAAGTTGCTCTGTGTATACAAGTCACAGAAAATATAAAGATGAACAATGTACAGGCTAAACTATCCATAACTACAATTTTGGTTGTTTCTTTTAAGCAGAGTTTCTGGTTTGGTAATATCTATTTTGGAATCAAATTTTGCTAATGTAGAAAGGAGAGCATAATAAGATTTTGCTTGTCCAGAGGGTGTCAACCTCAGCAAAATAATGAATAATGTTTCATCTCAGGCCTTCCTACAAAATATGGACCATGATAGGTGTCTCAAAAACACTGCACTGTGAACTATGTGAGGCTATATTTTTATAGTGAGTAACTCTGTGTACTTACTGCATAATAGGTTTCGTTGACTACACAGCCCTGTCCTGTAAAGAAGGAAGAAAGAGGTGTAAGTTTTAGGAGACAGAAACGTATGAAAAAACTTCTGTTTCATAGCTTTGTAGACCCTTTTTGTAAGCTGTGGCAGTGGCCATAAAACACACATTCACGACAAGGCCCAATATGATACCACAGATAACTTGCATCTCTAAGATTTTTGTAACCTAGAAAAATACAGAGGTAAATACCACATGAGGAGGGTGCACAATACTTACTGCATTCGAAGATAGGACAGCAGTTTCCAGGTGGCATTATTGTGATTATTTCCTGTCCCTCTAAGCACTGGGGTGTGATGTCAGTGCAGAGGCTTGTGTTGCAGTCTGTTTCATGTAAGAGAATATGGAAAATAATAAGCTCAGAATTTTTCAATTAAAGCAATTTTGTTTTACATGAACTTCTGAAGTCTTCCCATGGGGTAGATATGGTGTTTGCACAAGATAGTTTAATGATTAATTCATTCTATGTGCCAAGGTGTTTTCAATGTGATCAGGCTTTCCCATAATCTTTGTGAAACAAAACACTGAGAAAAGCAGAGTAATAATTGCTGGAAAGAGATAATTTCAAAGAGAAATTTGTACCAGTGGGGAAATCTGATTACTCTCTGCTCTGGTAACTGGTTCTGGAACTTTCCTGAGCAATTTTTAAATAATCACTACTATTTTTTATAGTTTATCTTCCTAATACTGGCCTTTGAAATGAAATAAAAAATGTTTTGAATGGTTTGAATATTATTTCAGGTAGTGGCAGTATTAAAGGCTTTCAATGTAAAATTATAGGAGATTTTCAGTTACTTTTCTATGTCTAACTATATAAAATCTTTTAATCTTTAAATTTGTTATTGTTAGGCATTTACTGTATGCTCTGCAAGAAGGCTCTAAAAAGCATTATGACATCAATGCAAAGTATTAAAAAATGCAAAATTATTGCTGTAGTTTCCTAAAATTAATATAACCTATTCCCCATGATAAAGAATTAAGACAGTACTCACAGCACTCAGTCCTAGTACAGCATGGATCTTCTGGTATTGGTATCTCAACAGGCATGTAACCTGGTTCTTCACAAAATATTTGCTGTGTCAGAGAACATTCGTGCTTTTTACACTTCACCTTAAGAGTATTTTTGTCACAGACACATTCCTGGCAATCTTTTGTCCATTTTTCTCCTGGCTAAATAAAAAAGAAAGGACAAAGGAAAGAAAAAAATTAAATACAAAATTAAACCAAAATAATTTTATTTGCTTCTAGTTAACATATTCATGCATATAGTGATAACTGATTATATCAGCTTTTTCATATTCTAGATTTCATAGGAGACCCTCAAACTGCTTATTCCAGGAAGACATTGGAGGCTGCTAAAGGTTCTGAGTTCACAAAGCTATTACTTTTTATTTGTTAATAGTGTTAGTATGAGAGTTACAGGAGTTCTAAAGGAGAAGTGATTGAGCCTCACATCCATTTTTTAATAAGAGATGATCATATGACATACTCATTTTCACATTAGGTTGCTGATTTCTGTGCAGCTGAGGAACAAAGAATGCAAGATATGAACATGATAAGCAACAGGTAAACTTTGTTCTCCATCTCTCCCTTCATTTCTAGTAATTTTAGCAAGCCAAATTTGTGGAAATAAAATAAGCATATATGCCTAACTTCCACTACTACCATTTCTCTCTCTCTTTTATTTTTAAGGTTTTTTTCCTGTATGTGAGGTTAATGAAAGAATATTTTATCACATATTGTTAAATTTCTTAGGGGTGCTCTAGTACTCATTATTTTTAAGACTGAAACTGAACAAACATTTGTGGCAAAGCTTTGGTTTAGTGGAATACTAAATATCATCTTGTTTCACTTGTCTGTGCTCATTAAGCCACACACATTGTGATACTCACCTTTCTGGACATTCCATTTGGTTCTCTGCAGACTAGAGAGAAAAAGAAAAAAAAGAGACAAACGAATGGGTATTTATACCACTGAAAACTGACAAAGGAATACATATGTGCAGCTTCAAATTAAAAAAAACTGTGAAGATAAAGCTAACAAGAAAATGAAGATGCAGACTAATTTTTCTGAACTGTAGAGTTTTACCATCTCGGTGAGTCTTATGTAAGGATGGATGATGGGAAAAAAGGGTAATATTGACTATTATTCAGTTTGTAACTGGGGACACTTAGGGAAGCTGATGTGCAATGATCTGACCATGTAGAAGATGACTATAGAGCTCAGGCCTCCTGACTAACAATCTCTGTCTCTATTTATTCCTCAAATTAGCTACTTACAGCATTCAGAGACACAGATGCTGCTCTCTGCATGCAGGAGTGTCATTCCTTCAGGACAGAAACAGCCTTCAGTTACTCCATAGCCAGGACGCTCATAGCTGGAATGGGAAGAATATATGTGCTTGAGTACAACACTTTTGTGGTGAGGCAGAGGGCAGAGCAGCATATCATGTCAGATACAAGAGAGACAAAAAATGTACACTTTCTGAAGGGCAACAGGAAGCACCTATTCCTAGAGCTGATTGGTATTTATAAATCGTGAATAAGTTTGTGAAATTCACAACACATTTCATTGTGAAATAACTCAAATTTCTGAGGAAAGTAGATAGGTAAGAAAAATATAAGCAGGTGCTTCAGGGTGGGGTGTTTTGTTTTTCCCTACCTTTGGTCACAGCTAACTGGATTAATGGGCCCACACGGCTTGTATACCATGCTTGACGGACAGCTGAATGCTGTATGGAAAAAGACAAAAAAAATAAAATTAAAAATTGACAGTAGATGCATTTTTTTTCAGAAAAAAAATTACTACAGCTTTGCCTTCTTAATCTGCAGCTTCTGTGAGAAAGGACCCCACTGGGTTTTTGTAGACAATAACCAAGTGTCAGATATAAGAGGTGTTTAGTGAATAAAGCAGTAATTTCTACCATTTATCACGCACATTTTGAATCCTGCAATACTTACAACATGTATTGTTGGTCATTCCTCTCCAGTCAATGCAGACACCTCTAGCAGCACACTCTGTAGCATACATCTCCAAACTGGAACACTGCATGGATTCATCGTCTATGCGACATCCATCAAAAACACAGCCTTTGAAAAATGGTTCTGGTGGTATCACGGTATGACATTCTGCAAAAACCCTGCAGACAGTAAAGAAAGCAACCCCCTTCTATATTAATGAGCCATTATACAAAGTCTGTTCCTGTCAGACAACACTTTCCAGTTAATACCATGTGACTCTGCTTCAGAAAGGAAAGTATTATGAGAAACAAGATCCTAGGAATGGCCAGTAAGCTGGGAGATAGATTCAGGAAGATTAGGAAATCTGTAGTGCTTTTTTTTCCTAGATGTTAATGATCATAGTATTTCTGTACGTGTACGCAACTATTTAGTGGCTTGACACCAGAAATATGGTGTAAAAGGCAACTGCACTACATTGAGAAAAAAGGAATGAAAAAAGTAGCAATAGAAAATTCACACATAAAAGAGCTCCAAACTTACTAGATACTACAGAAAGCATGTGTAAGAGGGCTTCTATAAGTAACCTTGTCAGCCTACACAGATATATGACAGACTTCAGACAACAAGCCTTTGCACTTTTGGAACTCCATATTTTAGGTAAAACATACAAAGAAAGAAGGACATTTCTCAGCTGTTTGCATCTGCTTTCTTCACCTTTTTGGCAAGTGGCTTCTCTACGATTTGTACTGAAAACCCACTTCAAATTTAGAGTTCAGTCTTTGCTTAATACTTAATGAACAAACTCTGGAAATATTGCATCCAGGGAGAATTGATTTTAGTGCTCACCGCATCCCTGATTTTCTGACTTTACCTCTCCTTGCTCAGTTATCTTTGGCATGCAAATCATTAAGGCAGACCAGTTTCTTTTGCAAAGGCCTTTTACTATATATATAGTGTCACTGAGCTGACATTTTCAGTTATTATCACATGCTAAAGCTATAGCTGTTATTCTTCTTGTAAGATACTGAGACAGTTGTGTCTAGAAAAAATGAATTTGTTTTCTTACTCGCTTAAGATAAGTTTGCAGAGCGGAGGTGTTTGACATTGCGGCTTTGGTGGAGGTGTGGTTATAGTTGGTGGTACTGGCACTCCATGGCATGACTCGTTGTTGCCAACAATCCAGTGATGAGCCATTTGGGGACAGGAGGAAATGATCTTACCACTTGGTAAGCGGCATTCATCTTCTTTATTGTTTGTACATGTTCCTGGAAGAGACAAGGTGGGTAAGTCTCCTAAGCCACATCAGAGATACACAGTACATTCCTGGGCTGATATGTTTAGGTGTGATGTGCTCATGAAATGCATATTTTGCTTTGCTTCCTAGGGAACACTTTCTCTAGGGTGAACTTTAGGTTGTGGAAAAGCAAACATATGTAAAACCCCAGCCCCAAAGAAATATTGAGCTTTTGACATCCTACAGAAGTTGAAGAGCAAAACTGTACTCATTTCCATTTACTGCTATTTAAAAATCTCTGTCAATTGTAAGACTGCATAGCCAGAGTGGGTGAGCATAACCAAGGTAGGGGTGGGGAAAGAGGACTCCCTCCAATCTGTGCAGCCTTCTTACCACATTGTCCTTCGGTGTTGTTGCCAAATTTGCTGTATGGGAGCTTGACAGAGAAAATGAGACCACTAAAGGTGATGACTGCACCAATTTCTTCTATTTCAACAATCATATTGATGCCAAGAGTGGAGAAAGAAATGCCATCTTTTTTGAAGCCTGGTCCAACAATCTTTTTGTTGAAGTACATCTGTATACAGGATTAAAAAAAACCACCAAAACACCACATCAGAATAAGCAATGCTCCTGCCTGATTGTTTTAAATAATATATTCTCTAATCTTCACAATTATGGATAAGTCCATATTGTTGTTCATCACATCCAGTGCCCACTGGCATCCTAATGACAGCATATATTTGCACTGATATCTTGGCTTGTATTGCTATATTGCTAAAATGGGATAATAATCCTAGTGGCCTCTACATACCGTGTTTGTGATAATTGTACGCTAATACACAGTATTCTATGCATATAAATCCAAGTATTTTCATTGTATCCCTCATGATTATGTGCCTTGGAAACATTTTTCATATGAAAATGTGTGGTAGTTTTGTTTAGCTACAGAAACATCCCTGTCATTATTATGTGATAACTTTGCCAGACGGTCACACCATCTCTATATTACATAGTGATTGACATAGGAAGAGCTGTCTGAATTCAAAATGAAGTCAGATGCCCTTAGTGCCAGTTTTATGTAGTAGTGATCATATTTATTTGTTAAAATTTTCAATTTGCAGCCAGTATCTTATATGAGTTAATGAAGGTAAATTGTTTGCCTAATAGTTTTTTGTCAAAAGTTATTCTGCAGCTCTCTTCTCACTGAACCAGGCTAAAGCACGACTTAAAATTGTCAGTCACCGTTTTCTTTCACAGGGAAGCAATGTGTGTTTCTGACTGAGAATTTGGCATGGCACTGTAAGGAGAGAGTGCCTATTCAGACAAAATTTTCTCCCTTTCTACAGATTCTCTAATCAACAAATAGATTCTCCAGTGTAAGAGTGGGACTATCTTTTCATTTTCATTGGTTTGCGAACACGACTTTGGATCATGAAGGTCAGATGACAGTCTAAGTTACCCCTTTTCTTCAGCTATACCTCTCTTCACTGTAGGAAACTGAAGGGGGAATCATGTCAGGGCTGTTTGGTGCCAAAGTTCCATATGGAGAGAAAGCAGTCATCCAGCAGATAAGGGATACATATCCATCTTCCTCTGGGACAAGATTCCTGCTTGCAATTTGTGTTTGTGTTTCCTCAAAGTGTGCTTTTTTAACATAAGAGTATGGCACAATGTACCAGTTTTCATGAAATGTGAATTTTGTTCTTAGCATCCAGTACAATCCTTTTTTTTTCCCCCTAGTGATATCCTCTGCCCTGATCACCTCCATGATGTGATATTCTAACAGACTGTATCAAAATAGCATCAGTAAGGCTTATAGACATTAGTCCTTTTTTGCAAAAATAGAAAAAAGTATTTACCACATTGGTCATCACACCATTCATGAGTTGACGAGTCAGCACCACTTCTGCAGATTTGTAGAAAATAATAATAGATTTAGGGCAGGAGAGTCCATCTTTTGCATCGCAGTAATAATTGTCAATGTAAACACGGAAGTTGTCATATCTAGGGACAATCTGTTTCACCAGGACGTAAGTGCAGTTTTCAAGGAAGGTATAATAGGTTCCATCAAAAGTAATGTAATGAGGATCACCCCATCCACTACACACACCTGTACAGAGAAAATATTTGGAAGATTAAAATGAGAATTTAGGCAGAAGAAAATCTAAAACCTGAAGATACTGCAATTTACATAGCAACCCTAAGAAATGAAAATGCCCATATAACCTGTGTAAAGCTTGGCTGTTTTTTTTTTTTTTAATGTTATTCCTGTATCTAGTGATGCTTACATTGACACTCATATCGGTAACAGCATCCATTTTCATCAGGTACCAGCATTGGTGGATATTTGTTTGCACAGGTAATTTCCTTTACCGGTGGGCAGTATGTTGGTACTACATCTATGTTGTTGTCTCCATTACAGATGACTTCTGTACAGTTGGATAATTTGAATCTTTCTCCAGGCTGCAAAATGAAGAAAAAGCTTTTTTCAAAAAACTCTGTAAACAGGTATGACCTTCACTCCTCCTTTTAGATTTATGCTATGTTTCCAGTACTGGTAGTGTTGGAAAGGAAATCAATGTGTGTTACTTCTCTTCAATTTTGGTATTAATGACTTTTAATGGTAACTACAGGTATTCAAAATTCTGACTGTGTTATGGGGAATAAACCACACTTACTTTTCTGAAACTAAAAAAAAAAGACTAAAATGAAAATTTTCACTGTGAGAAAAAAGTTGGCAATATTGTACAGGATTAACTTTTTTAATGTTAAAAGGAGGTGGAACCCTTAACTACACCAGTTACTCCTGCATGAGGAACTCTTTTGGAGATTGGGGACACGTATTAGGTTACAGGAACTGCTTCCCTCTGTTCTGTGTATAGCGTAATTCACAGTCAACAGAGAACATAATAAAAAAAGTTTAAAGGAGTATAGATAAAAAACAGGAGAATGGAAACAGATACAAGCATTCACTGAATCTTAAATATTTCCCTTTAGTGAAAAAATTAGATAAGAAAACTCCTTATATTATGTCAGTGAGAGGATACCTTACAGATGCAATACACCAAAGAGTTTCACTAAAAATAAAGTAACAAGAAAAGAATATTGTCACATCCTTTAGAAGTGTAAAAAACTAAAAGTCAGAAAAAGGAAAATTTAAAGTATTATGTCCTACATATTGCCCATCATTAGCAAAACAATTAAGACAATCAGCACATGTAAGGTTTAAACACCACAAACTCTACCAATTAGACACCACCCAAAAAATGATATTATTTCAACAGTAGAAAACTAACAAGAAAAAAACGTACTTGTAAAGGAGGGTAAATATTGGAAACACAACCATGAAAAGCAGGACGTGTAGAAGTGGGAGGAGGGGGAGCTGCTGTCGTTATTGTAGACCACTCAGAGGAACTGGTGGCTGGCAAAGTAGTGACAGGACAATGTACAGCGTGTCGTTCAATATTACATGTTGGGCTACAGATGGCATAAAATCGACACCCGTCACTATCAATTCTGTTGTAAATCAAGTCACCTGTAGAAAAAGAAAAAAAGACATATTAGAAGCAAAAAAAAAAAGAAAAAAGAAAGGCATAAAAAAAGTAAAGGATAATGAAAAAAAAGAAAGGTGAGCAAAAAAAAACAAAGTGAAAAAAAAGAAAATCGAATAAGAAGACGACAAAATAATGCACACGAACCAGGTGAAAAAATAGTATCACCAATCCTGCAGAAACACGGTGTAGTTGAAATGGGAGAAATTGTTGTGGAGAAGGGTTCACTGAGGGTAGTAATGGTGGATGTAATGGCAGCAGTTGAGAAGGTGGAGAAAGGGCAGTTGTAGTTGGGGGTGCAGCAGAGCACACGGATCTTGTAGTTGAGGCACATCTTGAACTTGCCCGTCTGGTCCTCGTTCTTGCACACCAG